ATAATAACCTTAGGCCTCTAACACGGAGGTCTGGATTTACAGGGCGTAGATTTGTTGTGTCAAAACATTTGTATAATTCTTTTTATTGGGGATGGCTTTAGAAAGCGGCCATTTTGAAAGCACTGAAAGTAGCAATGTGATTCAATAAGGCATGTCGAATCCAGTGAGGCTCCCAGCATGAAGAACAAAGAAAAAAAAAAAAAAAAAAAAAAAAAGATCGATAGATTGATGAGACATCATTTGAATTTTTTTCTTTATCACAAAGTTAAATCCAACCACAACAGGTGCTCTTAGTATGAAACAGGCTTCAAAGATAACAGATTTTAACCACAACGTACAGCTATAATGAATAAACAATACTCACTATTGGACTGGCATTGATGTAATCTGAGCTGCTGTGGTTGTTTTCTGCTTTCAAGGTGATCCTGGAATGATCATCTGTAATAGAGGTGCATAATTCATCAACACAGCTTTATCTCCCCACACAAAGACAACAGAATTTTGGGCAGCAACATAAGGATGTGAGGCTGAAGGGACTGCAGTTTCATCAGACTTTCATCATACACACTTCACACTCACTATATTCTGAAGTCCTGAATTGCTTCATGTTCAGTAAGGAATGTACCAAGTGACCTAATAAAATATTTCATTTTAAGAAGGCACTAAAAAGCTCTTACGTGAAATTATTGCAAAATTCATATAACCTGTCTTCAGTAAACTTGAACCTACTTTGGTTGTAGTCTTAAACATATTTGCTTCAAAGCAAATGAAAACTACAGATACTAACCATTCTTTATATAGAAGATTAAGCACAAAAAGAAGTATGTATTATTTATGAAGAGTTTAACCTAATTTAAAGCCCCTAGTTACTGTTACCATGCTATTTATGCTTTCTGTTCCCACATGACATACACAATAACAACATGAGCAGATTTACCTCTCAAAACTAACACTATCTTTGGAATAATGGGTCTAGATTTCACATGGACCTTAACAGAACCACCTCATTTGTAGCCTTTGTGGATTTTGTGGCTTCAAGAATCACTTTTATTAGCTCATCAGCTAAATTAGTCAGCTAGTGTAAACTAATGCTAAAATTCAGTTAAAAACTATCGCTATTCACTTACCAAGGTTTCCTGCTTATTTGTTTTGAGAATCCTGAAAGGGTTTAAATATACACATAGTTGCAAAATAAAAGACTGCAAGCTGCATGTCCTATCAAAAATCATCATGGAATAAAGGAACAGTATATTCTAGTATTGCAGGGTAAAGATAATTAGCTCTAGCATCGTAGTACAATAATATTAACCAAATGTATACATGCAAATGTAATAACATTAGGTTCTTTTAAACCCAACTAGTGGATGATTTGGATACCTATGACAGAAAAACACACAAAGTAACACAGTGGGAAAACATTTGCTCTAATGTTCTTAGTTGTTCTACTTTTACAAGAAGACAAGATATGGCCAGTGTAGCATGAATATAAACTTGACCAAACCAAATATACCCACATGGCATCAGTGATGTTTATTTATTTGTTTATGTCTTTACTTGCACATATTTTCATCAGTATCATTTTTGCTTGTTTTATGTTGCTTTTTTTAATGCATTGACAAACACATCAACTACGGTACAAGATGCTCTGCTTAGACCTTGTAAATAATGAAAGCCTTCTCACAACCAAAAAAAGCAAAGAAACTGAATGGCTATGGATGCACTCACATGCAACCACGGCATCTGAGCGGTTCCTCTTGGAGTTCTGCTCGCCCTGACCCACACTGCAGGCGCTGGGCTCTGCCTGGTAGGAGCACAATGCCTCCCACTCTCGCTCCAGACGGTTCTTGTTTTTCAAGTGGTCCTCCATGTATGACTAGGGGAAAACAGACATCTCCCTTGACGACATTTCAAACAGCAAAACAAAATCATGCAAAAGAAAACAGGATTTCTCTCAAAATATGGCTGCTGAAACATTAACATGAAACCTTAATCTAGTCTTACTTTATCAGAGCTAACTGGTTATTACTTATGTATTTCGTTAATATGAGTAAAGTAATAAATAAACTGGAGCAAAACACTAAACATTTGATAACAACACTTCTCCTTTAAAGCTATGATCCAGTGTCATGGAGCATTTCTGGCCAAAGCTGCTGTATAGAATAACAACTGGATGAGGAGATCTAGCTAGGGAAGGTGTGCTAACATTTGTGCCATTGTGTGTTTGTGTGAAAAAAAAATCATGCACAATTAAGACTCCTAAAAGGTTTGTCTGCATTGGAAATACTTCTGGGGTGTTTCAATCACGTCCCTCACTGCTTGCACAGCCACTGATAAGATTGTCTGCATTTAAGCTGCCACTTGGAAAAGACAAAATTGAATTCGCTGGAGAGACAAAGATGGAAAAAGAAGAGGGGGGAGGGGTGGAGGCATACGTGTGTGTACATGTGTGTGTATTCCCTCAAACCAGTCTTCAAAGTCTTATGAAGCTCAGAGGCTGAAGCTGGCAAGACGACTCTTTCTGAGGGTAGCGCCCTGTTTCACCTTCTCTCCTGTATTGTCCCACCCCCGATGGGGTTAAATGGCTCAGCTTGTTATTGTGTGAGGCAGAAGATTACAAACTCAAACTGATGTCAGGGATCAGCTGGCCAATACAATGAAAGTGACAGCCAGATGTGCTGGGTTTTTATCTCACATTAACACCATTACAGGTAGGTTGAGCAGAAAGTCACACTCCATTGTTACGTCCCACTTATTCACTCCTATCTACCAGAGCGAAATCCAGCTTTTTGCTGCATATATACAATTCCTGCCTAGATGATAATCACAAATAAGCTTGTCCAACACATAATAGTTAATCACCTTTCAAGAACTCCCACGTCTCCTACATGCACACATGAGGATATTAGGCACCATATAAGATTATTACAAATCCTACAGACAATGGAAATCAGCTTATTGTTATATGCGGTACCAAAAGTGCCCGTCAGGTCTCAAAGCCACACTGAGAACAGAAAAAGCGACTCTTGTGATTACTATATCCGCATAATGAGACAACAAGACAGCACAATGTATTCTATCAGAACCCATTAACGATAAAGTGATATTTCTGAAATAATATTGTAAGTTTTTCTTGTTATTGTTTGAGCCCTCTCTGTTTGAACTTCTAGTCAGTGTCAGTTCTAATAAGAGGCAATATGCATATATCTGCATGTGTGTTGCTGTGCACCGCCCACACAAACACACAGTGCTGTCTTCCCAAGAAAATGACAGCATGCCATTATGGCCACTTGACAGAGCCCGTCACCGCTACACTCTTGTCACCGTGTACAAGTACTCTCTGCTTGCCAGTCTGACAGCATTCCACATCCCCTTCCAATATTACATCTCCATGTACTTGATACATCCACTCTGAATTGTATCCACTTCCATTCAAACGATGCCCTCAATCGATTGCATTCCAAATTCATATTTTTGCAGCTTTAATGCAATGCTGCCAGCAGGCCCTTATCATGTCCTCCGGTTTCTAGGGGGAGGCAGTGGACCATGGTGTATTCCAGAGGCAGGGCAACGAAGGTTTAGTGAATGGGGGAGATTATGTCTGCCAATCATAGGGCTGGGATGGGAGGCCCGGGTGTCAGGGAAACAATGTCTAATCCTTCCTGAGCAGTCTCCTCAGCAGCAGAGGGCATTGGGTGAAATCAGGATGAAGGGACTACCAGGGGAGTCAGACACGACAGGTAACACATTACTGACGACCTCCTCTGTCAAATTAAAATGAGCAAAACTGGAAACAGTTAGTACTTTATGACACCGTGGAGAGAGGTGAAAAAAAGCATAAGTATGATTTTGTATGACTAATAATAGCTAAATCAGAAGAACATATTGTTTTACACAACATTAAAAGGAACAACTAATTGTTCTTTGGCTCACAAACCAAATGTAAAACTGTGAGTAAAAGTCACTGAGGGTGGAACGTGTTTCATGATTCACAGGCAAATTATTCATCGTTTCAAAAACTATTTAGCATAATAAAAAAAAGTACCTCAAGCTACACTACATAATTATGGATTGATTTGAGGAAGAGGTGATTAAGATGAGGGAACACCACAACAACAACAACTGTACTGCACATCTCTGACCCTTTTCTGGACAGAGATGTTTTTACTATATTCACAAGTAAAAACAGCTTTGGTGACAAAGTGCTGTCCATGGTGCTGAAAAGACAGTCCTGCAGCAATAAGCACAAAAATATAACTGCACAGAAACACATGCTTCCATGTCACATGTGGAAATCATTTTTGATGTTTTAAATCATGTATTAGGCAACGTTTTCATGTTTTTAAGACCATACTGCAGCTGAAAAAGTCAAAAGAGAGAAGACAGAAAATATAAGCCAGCAGAGGTATTTCTAAACTGAAATGACTCAGCACACAGCGGGGATCCAATTTCAATTTTGAAGCTGGAAGTCATTATGCAAGTCACATAGTGATGCACAGCATCATAGTTCATTAATTCATTTACCAAACTCTTGCAGCAGCATAGTAGTTGTATGTGTGTGTATATTTGTGAGGTGATTGGGCCTCAGAAACAGGACCCTGTGTACTTTGCAAAGCCGGCTATTCATAATCCTTTCTATACACGGCGTGTGCAAGACAGGGGAGATGAGAGGAGAGGAGAGCAGAGATGGGAAAATATAGGTCTGAGATCAGAGATAACAAGGCAATCTCACACATGGTTTCATGTGAGATGGCGGCAGAATTTTAAAGAAGAGCCCCTATAGGACATCTCCCTGTCATTCACAGCATGAAAGAGAAGTAAAGGTCCCTGTGTGTTTTACCTTCATACATTGTAGTGTCTGCATCGCTGCTGTGAAGAAACCAGAGCTAATAATAACAGCTCCTAGAAATGATTCACAGTGGCTCTTTTGTTATTACAGGGCTAAATGCTTTTCTATTGTCAACGCTTTCAAAAGGGGCTTCACAAACAAGGCTTGACTAGTGCAACAAAACCCATCTATTACCACCAATACAAGGCATTACTCAGATTCACTCTCATTCATTATAGCCTCCCAATATTAAAGCTAGACATGCAGTGTGATGAATGCTCTTTCCATTAATGGAAACACTGCAAGGCATCTATCCATCTCTTTTATCAAGCTTGTCTCAAACAAATGAAGTGAAAGTTGTGCAAAATTAAAACAATCCATTGTGTGTTTGTGGAAGCAACCAAATGCCTTTTTTTTACCCAAAAGGGGAAAAAAACATCTAAAACATCCAAATGACAATCAGATTGGTAATGATAGTTCACTTTCTGATCACGCAAAACAATGTCTGCCTTATTTTGTTGCAGCAGTAAGGGAAATGGAGGGGGTAAAGGATGAAAATGACAGAGGGGAGAGAAGCAGGACGGAATGATAAAGAGAGAAAAGACACAATAGGAGGAAGGAAAAGTTGGGGGGGGGGTGAAGACACCACAGCTAAGATAAAGCAAGAGGAAGAAAACAGCAGGAAGATTGATGAAAACAAAAACCAACATACTGAAGGGGATGAGGTGAAAGGGGATAAAAAAAGGAGACACGTCCAAACAAGTAAACAGAGAGAAATCATGCTGTTGGGTTTCAGCCTGGTATATTCATAAACACAGGGAGGTTTTAAAGCATACACTACAATGTGAGCTCTGTAAATGTCCGAGAAGCCTATTCCTGATGGACATATCCCTACAGATGAAGTCAAGTGCTCCTTCATCACCTCCACTTGTCATGTCCCAGATGTGTTTGTTTTAAATTAATTTTAAACTGGATGTTGTTAAAAGTATAAACTATATAAAAATGCTATTTGGCACAGAACAGGTTGTACATTTAATCCTAATTTACTGATGGCTTTCTATTTCAACTGTGAATCTATTAATTTGACCTATATATTTAGACTATTTATCTGTTACCTTTAGCTAACCTTTCCTGTTATTTATAGCCAGTTATTGCCACAGTTTATCCATTATTTTTAGCTAGTTGTTATAATCTCATGACCAAACTGAAGGTCAACATTGGCTTCTTGTAAAGAAACAAATCCTGCTTCTCTTTTACTAGTCAGAAGTCCAGGACCTATTCTGTCTGCTCTTGATTATGGTGCTATTGAGTATATGCATGTCTGGCCCTCTACCTCTATATCTCAGTGAACTGTAATTTATCACAGTAGATAAAGTCTTCATTCACTATCTTATGCGAAAAGATAGAATGGTACTCCTTAACTGACACTGTTATTCTTGATATGTTATTTATCTACAGTATAAGGCTCTATTGCAAGAATTGCCTTGCTGCCTCTACTCTCTGGCCTCATACAAACACAGGATATTTATCAGCTGCACCTCATGTCCAGTCTGGAAGAACTGGTTTCAGATACTTCACTCCCTTACAAATGAAACAAGCTGAAGAAAACTTTGAAATCTCTCAATTTAGCAAAGGATTTTAAGAGACCATACTAAGTATTAAGTCTAAATATTTGCTGTAAAACTGCTATAACAGTTTGTGTGAAATGTTCTGATGATGTTTAAACTTGTATGTTTTTCTTGAACATGGGTCTCTCTTGACCTCAATGAGACTACCTGATTAAATAAAGGATTAATAATCATCATTAAAATATTTCTACGTAGTTACTGTAGTTTTCACCAGCCCCTAACAGCAACATCTGGTGAATGGACATACCACTGAATATGTTTTTTTAAACCAACCCCCTGGCAACTAGTCTGAGCCCACCCTGGCAGGGTGAGAGCATGGGTATTGCAACATGATGAGATGTTGTGGTTGCTTAGTTGTAACCATCAGATACTAAGAACCGCAAATAGTCTCAGAAGGCCTGGCAATAAACCACACCTCAACCGTCATCCTACAAATCAAAATCTATTCACCTTCTCTCCTCCCTTGCCACATTTTATACACATGGATCAGTATTCACAAAGCAAGTTCCTTACCAGTATCATGTGACCAGTGGAGATGTCCATGTTGGACGGCACTGGCTCCTCGCACCAGGAGGATGTGCTGCTGCGGGTCGATGGGCTGGCCGCAGGACCATCGCTGAACTGGGACGACACGCTGTTGAGGCGTGAGTGGCGCATGGTCTCTGGCCGCTCGACGCGCTCCGATGTGCGGATTGCCATTCGCTGACGACACAGCTCCTGGGAGTTACAGGAGATGATGGTGAAGCTTGGGAATATCAAACATGCAGTTTTTCCCAGACTCCTTGTAAGGTTTTGTGTATTTATCTTGGTTTCATTGCACATTAACAATAGTTTTATGAACATTATCTTTGTTGTTAGGAGCTGAATTCTGTAAATGAACATTGTAAAACCTTGTATCTTGGCTGACTTGATCTTTACTCACTTGCCTGTATATTAATGGCTTATCCTTGTGGATTAGGGATCTTACACTAATTACGTCAAAAATACATGGCTGGGGAACCATAGTAAGGTTCAGAAGAAATATAGTATGTCCCACCTGCCTGCCACACAGCACCCATCTTCATTGAATGGATCTTTTATTTGGGGAAAAAAGGATCTTTCATTGTAAAACCCTTCAAATAAATCACCAGGCATTCATGCTGTACAGGAGGCAAGCATACATCCTTTAAAAGGAAGAATTTAGATCAATTTTCTTCAAAGGTAGCAACATAACAGGTCAATCTATCCATCAATCAAATGGGACTACCAATATAAATGTTTATAACCACCCAGAACCAAAGGAGAAAAATGCATTGGCACAGTTATGCAGTGTGTTTTGATTGATATCTCCCAGCATCGGAGGCTCTGAAAATTACATTCGTACCAGTGACTCAACTTTTCTCCCATCATGGCCCAGTGCAAAGACAAGATATCAAAAATTCAAAGACTAGGCGTTATGTAGAGCACTCCTGTATACTGGACAAAATGAAAAGAACAAAAAAAAAAAGCCCTTATGTATAAATAATGTCCTAGTATTTCTATTATAAATTCAGAATCTGTAACTATCATGTTCAGTTTTGGGCAGCACAGACCGTCATCTCCACAGAAGTCTGAGAATCCATACTCGATAACACTGAGGACAGGACAGAGAAAATGTCTTGTGAAAGCACATGCTATCTCATGATCTATCGTAGTGATATTTCCCTCTAGAGCACAGGGCCTTCTAACGCTTGTCTTGGATCAGCTTTCCTGCTGTCAGGCTTTAATGATCAGAGCCACGAAGAGGTGCCCTGGGCCTTGGCCTCAGGGCAATATCCAGGTCCACCTCATAATTCATTGTACTTCTCAACATCTCTGTAAAAGCACCACGCTGTACTGGAGCCAAGTATTCATTCCAGGAGCAGGTGAGGGGGATGCAGTTAGCACCCAAAGAGTAGACGCAAGAAGCCCAGAGAGGACCACAGGTCGTAGAAATACGGTGCCTGTGTTTACCACCTCCTGCAGACTACTAATAAGAATAAAAACAGGCCAAGAGGAAATGATTTCTACAGAATACGCTGCCATCTAACAATATCTCTCTCCCACTGCAGAGACAGCTCTCTCAAACAGCTTCATCTGTCAAACACAGTGAACACGCCTACGCAAACCACTGACAGAGCAGGTAACCTAAAATTTGCACTGTAGCCCAAAACTAAAATGGATTATAATGAAATAAAATAAATGCAAATTACTTGATGTTAATTTCTAAAGTAAAAAGGGTGTTTACTTTTGCATTTTCTGACACGGTTATAACACCTCCAGCTGTTGATAGGAGAGCAGCCCTGTGAAAACCAGATTAAATATTAAAAATGTTAACGCAACATGCAGATAAATGTGTTCTGAGTGCCACGCTGGGCACAGCTGAGTCTCAGTGAGGAAAATCAATACAGCCTGACTGCCCATGGCCCAGGAGGAACAGAGGGAATAGGTCACAGTGGCGGCTTGTTCCCCTGTCTGTCTCGCGCATACACACAGGGAGGCAGGCGCATCCTGAGAATAACAAAGCAGTAAGTTGAAAATGCAAGAAATAAAGAGCATAAAATGATATAAACGCACACACAAAATTATTTGACTATTACTGCAATGTACAACTAAAAAAAGCACATTTGATCAAAAATCAAAATCATAAGAGCAGGTAGAGGAAAACCACACATATCTGGGAGTTTATTAAGCATCTGCATCTCTGCCTTACACAGAGAGCTGTTTCTGTTAATTAGCTTAGCCTCATTGACGTAAATGGAGTGGAAATACAATCATACAATCAGTATAACACATTACAGTTCAAATGCAGCACAGTAAATATTCCGAAATGCTCCTACAGTTGAATCAAGATGTCTATAACAACTCCTCCACATCACCTTCTTGAAGAAGTATTTATTACAGGACTGCTGTATTAGATTGCATTAGTTGTATCTACGTGTACCTAATAAACTGGCAATTGAGTGTATATTCATATTAACAAACACATTCTCAAAAACCAATCAGATAATCAGCTGTATTTGAACAGTGTTTGTTTGTCCAATGAGAAAGCACAGGCCAAGTTTCCTGGCCTCTGATTGGTTCATACGGAAGGGGGCTGGTCTAACCTGATAGGTTGCAGTGGCATCAGTACTGGTGTCAGTCCCTAGGCTGGCCAGCTTCTCCTTCATGTGGATGTGGGAGCGCTGGCGCACACAGAAGAAAGTGGCGGAAACTGCCAGCACCACCAGGACAAAGAGCGTGCAGAGGACGGAGAGCAGCAGAAACTGGCCTGACTCCACCCTGGTCTCCTTCACCACAGGGATCTGGGTCAGGCTGCCCCTCTGGAGAGCACACACAAACAGAGAGAGAACAGTCAGAGCAGTAAATGCTGCTACGCCATTGTTATGTGGCTGTTTTTGATTCAACCACCATATCAAGTTTGTGAGTGCATCAGTTGCCATCTGAAGGTAACATGGATGCATCAGTATAGTGAATGCTTCCTCACCTATGTCTGCTTCCTCTCCCTTTCTTACCTTCCACCCAGTACTGCTGACTGACCAGCCCCACTCATCAGCCAGCTCCAATTCTGGCCTTAAAATATGCATCCAGACTCAGTAAACCCCTATTACCAGCCCCTGTCCAGTACTGTCTCCACACTGTGCTTTATTATAGATATTTAGAGCCCAATTTAGTGCTGGCATGGGGCAGGCTGGCACTGTGCAGCTACAGGACATTGGGATACTAGAAGCTGTCGCTTAATTAGCTCCTCTGGTCTCGAGTTCGACTGGATTAGGCCCTGGCCCAAGCTGCTAGGCTAATAGAAGGACCAGAGAGAGACAGGAGGCCAGACTGGACCTTTATACTGTACATCCACCACCAATATTCCAGCTCACACTTGTCTCACTACTGCAGGCCAGCTTTAATATCCTATAATACTATCTGAATGATGTCCATCACTGTAGTTTAAAGAATACACCTCTGTGTTGATAATCGGTCCACTACTGTGCTGATAATTCCCTGTAGGCCACACTGAAATAAAATATTTTGTAAGCATGCCAGCAATAATTAGAAGCAAAGGGATAATTATTGATGGCTAAAACATAGCTACTCTTAAAGGCTGTCTTTGCAGCTTATATAAACATCCTGCAAACTTAGTATCTAACTTTCAAAAACAGAAACATACTTTTTGGCCAGCACATTTTACTTAACATAAATAATCCTTACTGTCCTCTATACCAGACACAGGTTTGTAGAAGCCAGTTCTACAGTTTCTGATTTAATTTTTAGCAGCTGCATGCATGCCAATACCTACAGCTGCAAAAGAGCACACGAATACATCAGCAGGCACCTAATTGTCTGCGTGCAGTATTGAAAGATTGATGGGTGAAGTGAATCAAATCTACAACATGGGGGAAAAAAATGACAGAGCTCTGACATTTAGCCTGAGGGGTTTAATGGGCCACTGAAGAATAGCTGCATCTTGTTATACCATTTCAAAACAAGACACTTCACCTCAAACCAGTAACAATGTGGTTTGACCTTGTGGCTCATAATTGCAAATGTTTTATCGGTTGTGCCGGTGCCCAGGTTTTTTTGATTACTGTTGATGACAGTTGCTATTGATTGCAATTGCTGTAGATGGAGCATGTAGTTTCAATCAAGCATTAAGAGGTTACAACAACTGAGAGGTTTGAAGAGGTTCATATGGATAAAGGGAGAAATGGCCTTAAACTAATGACTCATCTTTGTTGCTGAGTGATCAAATGAATATACAGGGAGCAGAAACAAACTCTCTTTTCATTTAGTATTTAGCATATTTAGCACCATAGGCACAGCATGTAACAACAGTGTGGTTCAAGACACTGAAACCAAAGTGCCCCCTATAGACGTACAGCTATTGGTTCAAACCTGCTTCACCCTATTTCAAGCACTAGAAAAAATTCTGGCTTTTCTCTTTGCATACAATATTTTCTTTATTCTGAACATATTTTGTAAAAGTAATCAAAGAATTGTGGCCAATGTAGAAATTATTCAGGTAAAATAAATGAAAGGTGTTTCTACTGTAGGAGCAAACATACTTGACATACACTGCAACATAAAAGAGTGTCTGAAGCCGTATTAGAAAGAACAGAACAGAGGAGATACAGGGATTATGTTCATAGACCTTTAGAGTTCAGCCTCTTAGCTTTTCCCATTTTTAATGTTTGTAATAATTTTTATTTGACTATAATTGGGGTCTTTCAAGATAATTTAACTACATTAAATAAAACATTTCATGTGCTTAGAAGCTAGTTTTTTAAGGTTAAAAACCCTGTTTAACTGAAAACTTCTTTTAAATGGGTTAATATTAAAAACTGACTTTTTAAAAACCACAATGAAAACTTGATTAATGTTAATTTGATGCTATTGTTACTGCAGGAATTGCAGTGGCAACCACAAGCAGATCCCACTCTGTATGAACCTCCCGCCTATCAAAATCCACCTTTTAAACCTTGATAAACTGAGCTCTTTCAAATTATACTCAACACTGCTAGATCCAAACTGAGTCAAGTTATTACTCTCTGTGTTTAACAGGCTTTATCATTCTGCTTCTTTCTTCTATTCATATTGTCCCTGTCTGGTGAATTAGGCAGTCTGAGAGGAGACAAGAGGCAGATGGATTTCGGTGCTCTGGGTTATTCAAATGATAAGAGGAAAGGTCAGACGGAGATGTGCTGTCAGGGTGGCTGGCGATCCATTCACGCACATCACAATACCTTTAGGAGGATTTTCTTGTACTTCTTAAACACAAGCTGCCAAGTCTGAATCTACCTTCAATTAAAGCTGCTTTTTGGAAGTTGTAACTACAATTGCAGATTTCAAATGCATAAAAAATTTAAAGCTGTGTCCATGACATAAAATGAGTGAGGTCACACATGAAATGTCCAAATTAGCCCTGCTGCAATGTTTTAAACGCATTTTTCTTAGATATATGAAAATACAGGCTTCATTTAAAATTGCTGAAATTTTGCAGATACAGTTCTGGTGTAAATGGTTAGGCCTAGGCCTATTCCTATCATTTGGATAAATAAACTCATAGCACTCAAAAATAAATCAAATTGGGAAATAGAAAAATAAACCAATTAAACTTAGGCAAACTCACGTTACAATTTAAAAAAAATGCAGCCAATTTTTCATTTCTGTTAAAACAGAACAAGAAATCACCTGCATAATATTTTAGATTAGAGAAAATAAATTGCGTTTATTTTTTTACACCAAACGATTAAAGTGGTATAAATTATGCAAACACAAGGCGGATTTACCATCTTTCAGTCCTTACGGTGCATGAGTTGAGCTGGTGCTGGGCATCACCAGGCAGGATGCACCTGCACAGAAACTTTGCTGCCCACAGCCAGATGTGCTCACAACAAACGTCCAGTTTTACTAGGAATTTTTCGATGAACTTCAATTTAGATATGCACGCGTTTTTACCCGGTGCTCATTAATATTTTAAGAGCTTCGATCTTCAGCAGACTAGCGTAGCATTAAGGGGGGGATAAAATAAAGCCAGGCAAATCGAGCTCCTGCAACATATTACAAGACACAAAAATCATTTTTACTCACGCCGGAAACAAAACCAGCTTTCAACCTGATATTACGATTGTGGTCAAGTTTTCAAGGCCGACCATCATTTTAACGCTTTGACGCATTAAAACTTGTAGAATGAAGACGGCACAAACATAACGAAAACACACTCAAGCCGTGACATAATTACCCAAATCCATGTAGCAGGACAGCGCACACGTTTCGCGGTAAACGGGAGATGCTGCGTCTTGTATTCCAGAGCGCATGATTAACCACTAACGCCCGCCGAAGCCACAAGAAGCGTCTGTGCGTCCCGGCTCAGTCCGTGTCTCCAAAAGTTCCCCTGCGAGGGTCCCATGCGTCTCCCAGAGTCAACAAAGGACTGCGGCTTCAACACGAAGATGAAGAAAAAGGAAGAATAAGAAAAGGGAGAAGAATGTGGGATATGCCCGCCTGATTTTCCAGCCTCGGAAGAATGTGCAGAAGCCCCACTCGTGAGTCCTTTCAGCGCCTCTGTGCCAATGAAAAGAGATGGGGAGGTGGTGGGGTTGGTTTTTTTGCGATCATTTAGTTAAGGCTGAGCCCCTCCTTATATTCATCAGCTCAGAAGTCCCCATCTATTGCACATGTCATATCCACTGGTTGCTATAGCGATGCCTCCACATGTTGTCGACAGTGAATGTGCAGGGAGCCATGCCTGGCTAATAGGCTTGCGGGGCCGAGGGACGATATGAATGGGCATAGGGCTAGTCACTCATTTGTTGAGCAACTAGGGGTCTCTGTGTTTGGTGTGTGAATTGCTGTTTTCTCAGGCTCTCCTTTTCCTCTGCTCCCTCTCCCAGTGATTCAGTTATGTGAGCAGAATAAGGGAGATGGGGCAGTCTATTCTTCAAAGGAGGCTTTTGCATTCAAAGCTGAAGTGAGCACTATAATAAGTGGCTACCAGACAGTACAGTAGTTGTAAACTATATGAATACTGCATGGGAGACTGGGTGCAGTCTGCAAAACGCTCAGCCCCAGAGTAAATTGTATATAATTGGCTAAGCCTTTCCTCTGGTCCCCTCTAAGATCTTTCAGAATAAAGAATAAGAGACAGGAAAATTGCATGTTTAAAAAGTTTTAGAAATAAAACTAACTAAAATGCTATCCTAATTAGCAATCCGGCTGAAAAATAAAAAAAAGATCTAAGGGAGAGCAACAGCTGCACTTAGCAGGGAGAGAAAGAGAGAGAGACAGGGGGATTATGGAGAGCACAGGGAGAGAAAAGGAGAAGAAAAAGAAAAGGGGCAGTGAAGAGAGGCGAACAGTGGTCCTGTCAAATGCAGATGACGAGTCTTGGGGAGGGGGGCTCTGTGACTAGGGCTCTCCAGTTTATTTTTTCCATTCACACAGCACCACCTCCTCTCCTCTATTGTCCCTATGTGTGACAGCTGGAGTTGGCAATGTGAAGGGGAGAACAAAAACGAACTCGCTGTCCAGCCCCGGGTCTGCGGCTACATCGGACGCCACCCCACCTTCAAAAAAGCAGAGCCAACCAGACGGCCAGTAGCCATGTAATCTGAAATGGAAAACACTCAAAGTGACACAGCGATGTTTTGTGACATCCATAAAAATCTAAAAAAAAACCTGAAACTGTCAATGTCAGTTTTGTTATTTTATATTGCTACTTTTTTTGTTTGTTTTCTTAAAACAGAATATTAAACACAGATCCATCCTTATTCAGGTTTTAGCCAAACTAGGAGTAACACTTTCCAGGACATGCCTTCTGCACACTTGC